TGACAGTAAAGTGTTTTATCATCAGACTGATTCTTTAAGTGCCTGCACTGTTCTGCTCTGTGGTGTTGATGGAAAACACCACGACGGGCTCCGGTCCAAACCTCCATTTCCGGACCCTGACCCCAACCCTCCACCATCTTGTTTGCAACCGTCACAGATGGTGATTTGGCTGCGGCGACAGTTTACTGTGGTTTATTTATGTACACATGCATTCTAGCTCTGGTGTAAACACAGGAACATGTAAACAGGTCGGGCCCCCAAAAAACACACAATCAACAGTCGATCTCTGTTGCAAGAACACGATGGAGCTGTGTTCCCTCAGCTTTGCTATATCCGTTGTCTTTTATCCAAAGTGTGGTGCTGTGTTTACGTGGAGAATGAGGCTGTGGGTGGAGGGTCTTGATTGGTGGTTTGTGGCTGAGAAACAACAACTGGTCCAATCATAGTTCAATACACATCAGTAAACCACAGCCACAGAGGAGTTTATCATCTGAAGCTCACATCATGAACACAGACTTCTCTTCCTTAAAGCTGCGTTAATTGATTTGTGGCCACTCGGGGGCCAAAACAAGGTGTAAACACAACACTGACATACGATCCCCCTCAAACACGACCCCAACACATGTTGCTCTGTGACTGTTACATATCAGCTTCAAAGGTTAATGTTCATAATGTGTTTCTGCTGCAAACAAGTGGACAAAGAAATCAGTTTTTGCAGGTTTAAAGGGTTAGTTTGGATGTTTGAAGTGAGGTCCGTACCAATGAAAACTACCTCGAACACTGATTTTTGTACATTGAGGGGAAGTGGAGACACAACGTCCATCTTTTATATGTGGATGCTATTAGCATTGATGCTATGTAGTTACATTTAATGTATTTGCTAAAAGACGCTAACAACTCAGTCTTGATGCAAAATCTTAAGATTTACCATGTAAAAACTAAATAAAATGGCCTGAGATTGACCATTACATAATTTGAATAGTTACAAAATAGTAGTTATGAAATCAAAAGAGCTTCAGGCTATGCATCAGTCTGGCAATCACAGCATGAGCTACGAGCGCAGTTTAACAAAAACAACAATGGCGGCTGCTAAAGAGTTTAGCGTAGATGCTGCTAGCATCAGTTCTATGAGAACTGGAGAGTATTTCTTCATTGGAACAGCAAAGAACAGCACTGAAGGCTTTTTTCAATGGAAAAGCTGTTTTCGCTCAATAAGAGTCTGTCAGCGTTATATGGTTCATTGATCTGATTGGCTGAAGCTCGCCTGTGTTAGACGGTGATAGACAGATGGTTCATCCAATCCCCTGCTGAGTATTTATTGAAAGTGCCTGACCTTTACCAAACAGTTTCTAACGACGACTTCAGTAAAGTTACGTGCCCTCAGACAGCTCCTTTCTGACGAGAAACAACCAGACTCCATTGAAAACAGCTATAATTTTACCTTGCAGAACACGGAAGTTGCTGGTCCACCAACACCTTGATGGGTTATTGTGTGACTTTGGTGTTTTAACTCAGTAGTTCAGATCTGCTGATCAAGGTAACAGTACACCAGAAACTCAACTGCGAGCTGAAATGACAGTCTGGCATTCAGAGATAGTGGTATAAGGCTTCATTTTGGTCTTCGTTTGGTCTTCTAGTCCTTCTTTGAGCATAACTATCACCTTTAGAATAAGGAGGCTCATGAGCACTGCCTCATCTGAAATGTTCACTGATGTCATATTTTGCAGCTTGGATCCATATCGTGTTGTGTTTTTAATTTAACCAACATCAGCTGTGTCGTGGCCTGGTTCATATAAACCGCTCTGACAGCTGCCAAACACAACACTCCCCCGTGCTTTACTCACTGTGTGTTATAGGAAACTGTTGCTTCACTTCATGGTTGGTCAGACTATACTGGGTTCTTGGCTCATTCACCGGGAATAAAATGCATGACTGTGGGCTGGAAGTGTTTGTGTTGAAGTGGCTGGTCTCTGCACACCTTATAGAGCTGAGTGTGCTTATTACAGTTTGGTCAATAACACTTTTCAGGGTTTGGGGTGTTTGCAGAAGGATGTTTGTACCGCTGGGATAGAGGGTCTCTCTGTAGGAAGTTTCAAACCAGCAAAACAAACTTTTGGCTAAATGCAGGGACACAAATTAGGACTTTTGGGTTGTAACTGATTACATGTAATTGGGATTACATAATCGTAATAGGTAACCAGCCCAGATTCTAATTAGATCAGAGTTACATTGTCAAGGATAAGTTAATTTGATCACATCTTTAAAATATGTCTTTGTTTTCATTATAACCAATGGTTTATTAACCCTCTATAGACCTTGATAAGGGAATGATCCATTATCCTTCCCTTGTCCATTCGCACTGTGGAGTAAAGATACTGGTATCATATAAAACCTGATGACCTAACACATCCATTGGTACCAAGCATGTTGTGAAAGGGGCTAAATAACGCTCAAACAACATTTTGATGATGGAAAAACTGGCATGGCCATTTTCACAGGGATCCCTTGACCTCTGACCTCTATGGGTACCCACAATGCTCCCTTTTACAGACAAGCCCACTTTATGATAATCCTGTGAAGTTTTTTGAAAGTGGTATAAATGTGTTATTTTAGTGTATTTGAATATTTCTGCAAACTGGGATCAATAAACAGTGTTGGAATTGTATCTATTGCCATAACCATGCTAACAAAAACAATTGTTTTCAACATGGAAAAAAATGTGTTATTTGATTTGAATATGTTAAGCTGATTTTATTTAAATTGAAAATCTTTTGAGAGATTGAAAAATATATATATTTGTGTTATTTCTTTAGTATAAAGTGCAATATTTTCAGTGTTTGATCTTGAAGTAATCCAGAAATAATGGTAAATGGTAAATGGACCTGTACTTGTATAGCGCCTTTCTAGTCTTCCGACCACTCAAAGCGCTTTTACACTACGTGCCACATTCACCCTTTCACACACATTCACACAGTGATGGCAAAGTCCATTGAACAGAAACTAACTCATTCATACACATTCACACACCAATGCACGGCATCAGGAGCAATTTGGGGTTCAGTATCTTGCTCAAGGATACTTCGACATGTGGCACCAGGAGCCGGGGATCGAACCCACAACCTTCCGATTAAGGAACAACCCGCTCTGCCTCTGAGCCACAGCCGCCCCCAATAATACATTTAGATTACCTTTTTTATGATCCAATGGATTACATTTCTTGGTTACAAAAATTGCCATGTAATTAGTATTCAGTCACTGACACTGACAGTCACTACATTTTAAAGTAATGTGACCCAACATGGAGAGCCGATGATGAATATGATTTGGTCTGTTCCAATCCAGGTCAGTTAAATCGTATGTCTTTGATATGTAAAGAGTCCGCAGCTTTTCCTGAAGTTAGCTTCATTTTACACAAGTTCACTCACCTCTAGTTTCCTCTGTAGGCTGTACAGTCCTACACGCCTCTCCATCCAGGATCTTACCAAACTTTTAGCTTTTTTTCCTCCTTTTTTGGTCATTTCGACACTAATGTCGCTGCATATAAACAGTGCAAGCTGCTGGTTGGCATCCATGTTTGTTTAGCGTCAGAGCTCCAGTGTTTACTGAGCAGTGGTTCAATGTGTTGTCTGGTGTATTTACTCAGGAATGTGTCTTCAGGTTTATGCGCCTTCCTGACTGTCAAAGGCAAAAAAAAAATAATCCCTGCAAGTTGGTGGAAACGGTCTCTATGTTGGTTAGTCCAGTCTTTGTAGGTTTCGGCTCGTCTTCAGGTTTGTCCCAAAATATGGAATAGCCAGAGTAAAATGGACGCTGTTTCTGGAAAAAATAACTCCAGTACTGAACTGTAGTTTCACAAGCTGTTAAAGGGAGAAAGATTTGAGTGTCGTCAGCACAGAAATAATAATTTATGTTTCATTTTTGGTAGAGGTCTAATTTAAAACCACTTTTTGGTAACAACAATAACCAAATAAGTACTGGATTACCCAAATTACAATAAAGTGCATTTTTCAAATAAGATTCAAGCAAAGTATGAGCTCATCCTTCATCTCTCCCACTCTGTAAGCTTAGTTAGTTTAAATTAGTAGTAAAAAAGTAGTAAGTTTAAACCTCAGTCCATCCACATGTCTGTCTTGATGTTGTAATGACAGCAACCCACTCAGATGAATTAATGGCTGAGTCACCGTCACATCTGTTCCACTGACATCACTGGAACTATCATCCTTAATACCGTCTTGTTTTATTTTTAGGACCATATTATTGGAAAAGACATCTTTTATATGAATAACAAGACTGAAGCCCTTTCTTGTATGTGAGTGAACAAAATAATCTCACATACTTACGTACTTACTTTATTAAAACTGCTTTAATCAAATTTTTATATGAACAATGGATCAGTGGTAAAATCTAATGAAAGCATTCTATCCAGTTGCATTATGGGAAATGTAGGAGCTTTTTAAGAGCTTGTGTTTCTGCTGCTTCAGTTTTTATGATTCATTTTTAAATCTGGCTCCTGTGAGTCTCACAAATGAGATACTAATCCCTCTTTACTTGGCGCATACTGGCACATTTATTAGGTTAGCCTATATCTACGATGTCAGTGCCCATATATCCACTATCATAAATCCATTCAGCCTGCCTATATGTGTACAGCACATTATAAATAACCGGTCAGTCCCCTCTGCAGCTGATACCGACTGAATACCTGCAGACTCTCAACACTCCCAGAAACCTTTCTGCCCCAAACAACCAGTGATGAATTTTTAAGTACCTATGTAACTCTTGGACCTGGTTATTGTAATCTATACACAACCAGTCCAACAGACTATTTTGTGCATAAACCTTTAACCCTGTGTCTAACTACACTTTATGTCCAAGTAAACAACGGGAGGTTGAGACTTCACTGAGCATCCAAAGACATGATAAGACTCATCGTTGCCCCTGAACTCATGAATGTGTCACTGAAATGGATGCTGAATACAGAAAGACCATACTTAAGAGAGCATACTTAACATGCTTTATTTAAAGAATTGCCTCTGCAACATTGGCGTTGGGTGATTCGTGTGAGAGGAGTTCGGACACTCAATGTGAAGACCATTCGAGCCTTTGCATACTGGTGTATGTGGAGTGTTTCAATTGAGTCTATCCATGGATGACAGAATAAACCTTACAGAAAGAAAACATTATGGGAGAGGAGTTCGGACACTCAACAGGGGTTAAGGTAAAGACCATGCTAAAGAAGGATAGAGAAATGAGGTCCTCACAGCTCTGATCCAAAAACCTAGACATCTCTGCATTCAGGAGGGTCCAGGGGAAATCGATTCTCGCCACCTAGAGAGTGAGTTGTGACAAACATGTCAGCAAGGGCAGGTAGAAGACCGCCAGAGCTTCAGGTTAAAGACCAGGAGACTTGAGTCTGGAGACTCATCTGAAATGTTGCATGCATTGTGTGAAAGAATCGGGTTGGCAACTGCTCTCTGTTACACATGAATTGGCTGACGTTGTTTTCCTCGGGCCGAGCCTCAATAAATTCCGCTGTGTAAGTCGTCAAGGTTTCCTGAACTCTTCATCGAGTACGAGTGGTTCATCTTCCTCAATTATATTCTGGAATATTAAATGTTAATAACAGATGGAACTTTATTTGGACCTTTTACTTTGTATTTTGTGGGTGTTTATACAGCTATATTCTTTATGTGGGTGGGTGTCTATGTGTATGGGCGTGTGTCTATATCTGTGTGTGTGTTTGTGTGTGTGTGTGTGTGTGTGTGTGTGTGTGTGGGATGTGGCTTTCTGAGCTCAATGAGGGAACATTTTCTTCAGGCCAAATAAAGCTGCCCATGTAAACTCCACATTCCTGAGTTTGTGGTGTTTCTGTCTCAAACTCTCTTTCTTTTATGGAGGGAGGAGGCTGTGTGTGTGTGTGTGTGTGTGTGTGTGTGTGTGTGTGTGTGTGTGTGTGTGTGTGTGTGTGTGTGTGTGTGTGTGTGTGTGTTGTGGACTTTTGAAGGTCTGCACAGGACTGACATTGAGTTTCACACAGTTTTTGCTTACTGTTGCAAAATGTTTCTCAATCTGCCCTAAACTGTGCGCGTTAGAGAACGTAGAGAAAACGTTTTTCCTCTCTTCCATCAATCATCTCTCGACCCCTCAGATTGTATCTGGTGACCCTCTGGAGGGGCCCCAACCCCTATGTTGGGAACCAGTGGACTACACTAGCTAATTGTATATAAAGTGGTTCAAACAGTGATCATTGATTAACATTGATTAACAATCTGATTATGTCACATACAGTAAGATATCAGTCAGAGACGTTGTAGTGCACTATGTTTACTTTTACTGCATGAAGCTTAAAATACTTGTGTACAGTGAGTATAAGATCTGTGTACTTTTACCTACAGCGAGTATAATATAGTATCTGTGTACTTTTACCTACAGCGAGTATAATATAGTATCTGTGTACTTTTACCTACAGCGAGTATAATATAGTATCCGTGTACTGCTGTCAGTGTGATGGAAACATTTAGTTGTCGTCCCACCCAGAAACCACAAAACCTCCAACCAGCTCCACAACAATCTCCCTGCGGCTGCAGCCTCCGTGACCTCGGAGGGCGGGGGGGGGGGCTGATCCAAACTCCTAGACAGAACCACACACACACACAAACACACAAAAAAAAAACACACAAATGTTTACAACTGGAGTACAGCGTACGAGCGGTAAAAGACCACACAGCACGTTATCACACTGAAGGCTGTTAAACTCTCTCCACTATCTCTCACACACAGGCAGCATTATCCTGTAGCCCAGCCCTGAACCCAGACTCTGTCATTAGCCTGGAGCTCAGTGGGGTTGAACACGGCGCCTAAATTACACGGAGAGCCTTCGGGACGTTCCCGTTGAGCAACATGCAACTCCGACAGAGACCCAGAGAGGATCCAGGAGGGAGTGGACTGAGCCAGTGCGACTCGGCCTTCGAGGTCACTGCAGCTCTAATTTGCATAAAAACGGTTTCTGGGCTTTCCACAGCTGAAGTGGACCTGGAAAAACTCCAAAACACTTCACCGCAACACAGACTTTCCTGGAGTGGCTGAGGAGGAGAGGCAAACAGGATCAGGATCTGAACTAGTCAACTAGACCAGAAACTGGCTGTTACACATAAATACTTTTACTTTTCTTCCCAAAATGTTAAATCCAGAATATAAAGACGTTTTACAACCTTAATTTTGAGCTCTGTGTAAAATCTCAAATCGAGACCGCAACACCGAAGCAGTTTTGGGCCCGAGCCAGATGATTAATTATTTATCCAAATTAATAAATCCAAACTAACAATACAGATGAGTCTCTATGAAAGAAACCTGAAAAAAACACCATTACCAATAATATTGTTTCTCAACCTGATTGCCATTCGGATCGGTCCTCAGTCTTTGCTTTCATTTTAAAGTTTTAGCTATGAAAAAAGAAACATCCATAATTATAATTTAAATAGTTGATTACAAGCTAAAGTAAACTGTGATGCAGAGCTCTCTGTAATGTTCTGCTGTGAAACCGTTTGTCGGAGGGATCTGGTGAGAGGAGCACCTGTGTTTGCTGCCGTCGGAGTTCAGGAAAAAAAGTCTTGAGGCTGAGTTTGGCGAACAGGAATGTGCTGCTTTTTATTGGCCAGGCACGTCCTGGCTCTGCCCTGCTCCGCTCTGGTCTGTCCAGAGTCTGGGGTTTGGCTCTGGCTCCAGGTTTGGGTGGGTCCAGACTGGTCTGACTGTGTGGTTTAACGGGGTCAGTAGTTAGTGCTGGGCTGGGGCTGGGGCTGCTGCTGTGGCAGAGACATCTGCACAGTGCTCTTACTGGGAATGTCCAAAATAATGACTGAGTGTGACTCTGCTCTGCCAGCTGATCGCTGCCTCGGATTCAAAATAAATAACAACCAGCACTGCTGAGCCTCCTCTGACCCCCGTATCCATCCATAGGGATGATGTCTAGGGGGTTCGCTCTGATAAATACTACCGCAGCCTTCCATTCGGTGCCAGAGTCTATGCAGTGCTGATCGGGGTTGGCGCCACAATATCGAGGTCCCGCCCATATACCCGTGACTCAATGGCGTGAAGGACTCAGCTGTCAATCATGATGTGAAACCCCCTTTTTATTTTTATTTTTTATCTTCAAATAACTAATAAAAACCAAACTGATGATAAAAACTCGAAAAACATCAGCATGATAAGAACGACCTAAAATTACATATGTACGTAAATGAATTACCTAAAAAAAACGCAATCTTTTAGTTTGTCCCGTCTGCTAACAACGACGCTTTATGAGCTGTACTGCAGTCAGCCACCAGGGGGAGAAGAGAGAGAGTCTATACTGCAGTCAGCCACCAGGGGGAGAGAGAGAGAGAGAGTCTATACTGCAGTCAGCCACCAGGGGGAGATAGAGAGAGCTGTCTTATGGTGACGAAGGTTCATCCCTTCATCTAAACCTGGCATTGATATTGGCCACCTGGTAACCATGGTTACTGGCAATCTAACACCAAAAATTAATTGGCAAAAGCATTCGGTCCTGACTCTCTCATCCTGACTCGGACTCTACTGGTCCTGGTCTTGGACTCGACACAGGTGGTCTGTGTGTGGACGCACACGCTTAAAGTTTTAGTTTAGCTTGAACTGGACCAAAACCGGTGCCAGTACCTTTGGTTTGGGGGGTTCAGCCGATGTAAGTGTATTTAGGCGTGTTGTTGACATTTTAGTATATTTAAAGTGTTTGAATTTAACATCATTTGTTATAAATACACTGTAAAAAAAACTTAAGTTTTAAGTCAAAAGGTTTTGAAACAAATTAAAAAGGTTTTGCTGACCTTCAAAGCTTTTATTTAGATAATTTACTTTAAAAAATGTCTGTATTTTACAGTGAACCAAGTTTTCATTATTTGGCTGCTTGAAATTTTTAAATGTTAAATTATTAACTGTTTTTCACTTTAATTTAAATGCAGATTTTTTTTGTTTCTTATTCAGATTTAAGTTTTCTAAAGAAGAAAAGTAAATTATCATTAATTATTAGTTTAATTCAAAACTTAAATTTGAGAGATTCAAGTTGCCTTGAAATGTACTTTTTGTTTTTACAGTGTATAAATAGTATAAACAGTATTAAAGTATTTCCTCTAACAGGTGCAGTCGAGCTACAAACCCTCTGTAACCGCAGGAATATAAAGTCATAAAGCTTCTTCAAACACTTTATAAACCACACTTCAACAGGAATCAAACCCACGTCCTCCGGCCACAGAGCGGTTCTAATAACGTCCCCAAGCATTCACTGTTGTACAAAGTCCAGAGAAAATATTGATTTAGCTTTAAATTCCAGCCTTTACTTTGATACTAATGTGATCCATGTGTCTCTCCTCCGAACACCAGAGTGTTTTCTTTGGTGGCTTCGGTCCAAAATCTACAGAAATCCCAGAGAGACTTCATTCATAAAACTTCCACCAGATAAGAAAGTAAAAGTTGTACGGAGACATTTATTCCTACAAAAGGATCTACTCAACCTCACTGTGACATTTATATCGTCAGCTAACAAACAAACACTGAACGCTGTAAAATAATCGACAGTCATATTTAGAATAACGTTACTATCTGTAATGTTCCTATATTTCATTTGGACCGTTTGAGCTTAGCTACAGTTAGTTAGCTGGATGCCCCTGCCTCGCATCACTCTCAGCTAATGACCAGCAGGGGGAGTCCAAGAGTCTGATACCATTCAGTCTTATGTAGAAATGAGCAACTTCTCAGTTGATTTATGCCCTCAGTAAACAGTTTCCTGATGAGTTTCTGGTCTCAGTCTCTAGTTTCAGTCTTCTTCCATACAGCATGATGTTCATTTAGTAACTGATGGTCCCATTTAGAGTAAAACAGACCATAAAGCAGGGTATGCTTTAGGGCGGGGCTACATACAAACATATAAAACAGACTACAGGCAGCAGAGAAAGTGATTAATTCATAAAAAATAAAGCTTCATATGGAG